TCTTTCGCCCAAATTTGAAAACTCATAACTTGTTGAATTCTCAACGAATCTGCAAGATCTAATAACGAAGTTCGAACGGTGATTCTAACATAAGTCTAAGTTGAACCTTGCTTTACAGAATGGTGGCTCAAGCTCGGCGAAAGACATGAAAGCAAGGGAGTTATCAACGATCAAACAGTTTTAACATTTTTTGGGACACTCTGTGTATATCATCTAGGGTATGCACATTGGCGAGATGTTTTCGAAAGCAATATTTTCTCACCTTTCTACTGAGAATAACTAATGAATCTGGACGAGAAAAGCTTTTGCGATATCAAAGAGAGTAATGACAATGTTTTTACGGAAATCTTGCTCTTGTTTGAGGACGGTCGTGATTACAGTAAGCTATGCTTCCGTCACTGGAAATAACATGTTAAAAATCATCATGTTGATCATATCATGTCAGTTTTTTCCTGACATATATCGTCGAGTCATTTGTAACTCAATATGCCAAGTGCACACTATACATGCTATCTGACGAGCAGCGAAACTAGAACCTGCTCATTTCCAGTGATTTCTCCTTGTTTCCTTATTTCTTTCGTTCTGGTTTTATATCTTACTCAGTGGAACACATTTCTACACCTTGTTAGGCTAGAAAATGTTTTACTGGGAAGTTATTAGTATTGGTGCCGTCGCTTATAGGGCTTAGTGTGCAATCTCACATATTAAGTTACAAATGACTTGAGGTTAGCAGATTTGAGCCCTGGCAAAATCAGAATGAGATCCATCTGAATGTAGAATGCACAGCTTACAACATTTAGGCGACTTCTAAGAGTGTAGTGGGCGGCATCTGCAGACACATGTTGGAAACTTGTTGAACATTAATCTAAAGCATCACTTTTTATACTTCCTAGCATAACCGCCATGCGTCTACGTTATCAAACATTGGCAATGCTCCGGCCGCTATACTCTTGGGGGTCGATGATAACTGAAAAAGCGGTGTAGGGCCTAACCATACCTTGCGCGATTCGGCCAGATCTCGACGTTATCCTGGCAGTTTGCCACATGTCTCCAAATTTATCGTGCGCGGTCCTCCAATCATAGGTGCAATAGGGGGAGCAGGGTCCCCTTCAGGTGAAGAGGGTTTTTGTTTGTTTTGTTTCGAAAGCTTGGAACATGTTGAATAAACGTAGGCCGTCTCTTTTTCTTCAGCTCTCCCGTAAATTTACATACAATCTTATCTAGCTGCAACCAGCTGATTTTATGCAATCACTTTGCGCTCCATTTCCGAAAGGAAGAGGAAAGCTAGAAAAAAGAGACTGTTTAGGTTTACTGGCAAAGTCTTGTTCTGTAACATATTTAGACAAGCGAGCGCCTTCATTCATTCTTTGCGTAGAAATTTCCTCACACACCCATGTCTTCAGCTTAAATGCCATTTATCTTCGAGTAGAGGGGCGCGCTAGGAAAGAAGGGACGGTCTATTTCGAATCCACGTTTCATGAGCTTTCTAACGGTATATAACTTGTTAGATGGAAAAACTCAGCTATTTACTATTAGCTTGCTACTGTCATGTAGCTATTTACTATTAGCTTGCTACTGTCATGTCTTAGTTAGCTAATCTCGGGATTTGATCCCTCTACCCTGTTGTTTGCTTCTTAACAGAACAATTGCTGACTAGATTATTTTGTCACAAAGGGGGATACAGAATTGGGGAGGGGACCACCAAGCACTCGAGGAATGCCTTGGCTCATGTGGGTCGCCAGCTCATCTGAAGTTTCTGGGTACCGCCCAGTTGGCGTGGGACTGTCGGACCATCTAATTAGTCTGCGTCTCGACCCTCCACCTCGTCCCCTCAATGGCTTGGCTCATGTGGGTCGCCGGAGCAAGGTTCTTTTGAAGTGGGAAAGCTTTATGCATCAACAATTTATATACCGTTCGATAGCTAAGAGCACGAGGAATCGACGTAGACCTTCTCTTTTTTTCTTTTTTCTCTTTTTTTCGCAGAACGGTGTCTTATCGTTTAGAGACGGGGCGGTGCAATCATGAGGAGAAGAGGGCGCAGAGGTCTAAGCTCGGACGACAGATCACGACACGCAGAGTACCCTCTGCTGCTGTAGTAGTTGTGATACGCAAGCGCGTGCCAAGTGTGTTGAAATATGCAAGATGGTGATTGTTCCGAAAGTTAGGTATGAAAGCATTTATTGATCCGCTCACATTCCACCTCTGTATTCATTATGCTCTCGTTCTTTTTATTCTTCCTGGAACTATTTTCCACTTTTCCGTCAAATTTTGAAGAAATCTCCGAAAACGTCGCTCTTGAAAGCTTTTGTTTTGCTTGAATCTGATTATACTCGTTTAAAAAAAGCGCGCGAGTGCGAGAATGACATTGTGGAAGGAATGTACAGTGATCCTCACGGCAAAATACTATTTTAGAACGATACGACCCATTTTTCGCCCAAATTTCGAAAAAAAGTTTTGAAAACCTCGCTTTTGGAGCAATTGCTCTTCTTGAATTCGATTTTCCCCATCACAGTATGAACGTGAGTGCGAGGATGACAGGAAGGAAACTGTATAGTGATCGTTGTAGAGCAAAACACTATTTCAGAACAACATGATCTACTTTCCGTCTAGTTTTTAGGAAAATCTCCGATGATCTCGCTTTGAGCGGTTGCGGAAATACATATGCTGATGAGGAAATTCATTTGGGAAAGTATGTTGTGAGTAGATTAGTAAGCCAATCGAGATTAGTATTTATTAGTAAGTGGCGGCCTAACATTTCGAGCTATTCGTCTTCTTCAGAGGCCTCCTCCACCGCCGGCGCGCATATGCCCCAACCCGCTTGTAGTCTCATATATAAAGCTGAAAGTCTGTTTGTCGGTATGTTGTAAGGGTTTTTTGTAAAGTTTGGCCTACGGGGCTGGGAGTTGGCACTTTATCGATTTTTGCTAAGTTTGAGCTACGGAGATGGGGGTTGACGAAGGAAGTAAGTGGACATGCTGATTACGAAAGCAAAACGGGATAGGAAACTGGCATGTGGAAGTGGGCACAGGGAAAACTTCTGCAGGAACAGGAATGGTAACCGTTATCATAATGATTTGACAGGGCAGGGAGCCGGATATGCCATCTAGTGGGTGATAATCAAATTATACGCTTGGATAAAAGAATGCTCAACTCTACTTCTGCTCAAAGAGTCGCCATAGGAGATAGCTTTGCATAGCTCCCATGCAAAGCTCCATGAAAACAATGTGTCCTCTTAAAGGCGGCGTCTGGGCAAATCTGGACATATAGGGATGTCACGTGCATAGTTATGTTGGGGCCCTAACTAAGGGCCGCATACATTAACATCACCGCCGCGGAGGGGATCGCAGCTTGAAAGAAAGCTTCTTACCTCGAAGCTCCAGATATCAGAACTCCACGCTGTATAGCTATCCGTATGTATTCCGTTCCTACCTATCTTCACTATGAACATACTGAACAGGAGCGAGAAGCTCTATAAGCCGCATTTTTCAGCAGTTTGTATGATCCCCTGATGATCCCGTGGGGACGACCGTCTATTGTTTGAAGTCAGTTTTCTTTCTTCGATGTTAACGAAAAGCTTCCAAAGTTGTACTGTTCGTCTAACCCAACAGTGCTAAGCGTGTTGCTGATAAGAACAAATGATGTTTTGGATTCATGAAATTTTCGATGAAGCACGGGTCGAAAGTTGGGGTTTATCGAAAATTTCGATATTTCAGAAACTCATTTGTTCTCATCAGCAGTATGCTTAGCACTATTGGGTGAGGTAATCATTACAACTTTGGAATGTTTTCATTAACTTGAAGGAAGAAGAATGAAGCTAAAGAACAGATGATCGTCCCCTGTGGATCATAGGGGATCACAAAAAGCTGGAAAATGCGGCTTGTACGGCTTCTCGCTTCTGCTCGATATGTTTATAGTGAAGGATGGTGGGAATACTTACTGTTAGATAGATAGCGTGAAATCCAGATATCTGGAGCTTCAGGATATGAAGCTTTCATTTGAACTGTGATCCCCTTCCTGGGGGGATGTTAGCGCATGCGGCCCTAAGCCACTGCCCAACCGGCAGCTCAGGTAGTGCCATAACGGCTGAGACATTCCCCTCGAGACTAGACTTCAGCGTACTCGCATGCATTCATGGCGCAATCCATCAATTTCACGCGAGGACCCAGGCGTTGCGCCATGAATTCATGCAAAATACGATCCTGGGGTCCAGTTTCGAGGGGAATATCTCAGTCGTTAGAGCATTACCTGAGCTGCCGTTTGGTCAGTGACTTAGTTAGGGCCCAAAATTACTTTCCACGTAAAATCCCTAAGGTCCAGATTTGCCTGGACGCTGCCCTTCAAGAAAAGCGAGGACGAAGGCTTAAAAAGGAGAAAAAGCACAGGACGAGCTTATATTATAAGTTTGAGCAAAGAGATTTGGGATATAATCGGAACCTGTTTGTATTTCTTTCAGATTCTGATCTTCCAAATCTCTGTAGCCAAACACTGTATAGGCTGTCTCAGTGAAAATGTCCAGCAGCGGTTCTGTTCTCGAGGTCGCCGCAGCCGAGTCTTGCGTTGCGTTCGCGGACGCATCCTCTAAGGTTTTTTTCGGCATTTTTTCCATGCCTTGCAAGCTATCAAAGGCGGACTTAGGAAAATGCCCAAGAATCCATTGAGAACGCGTCGAGAACAAAGTTGATTGAGGCGGCTGCAAGGAGCCGTTTCGCTGAAGCTGCGACTCTGCGTTTCAGACGCACAAGTGAATTAGTGGTCACAGCTAGGATAAGCTTATGCCGCTCGTGATTATGAGAGGAGGCAGAAGTAAAATCAAAACCACGAATTTACTCCTCGTCCTCTGCCTTCTTTCCCATTCCCATCCTTACTCCGTGCATACCCTTCCATTCAGTAGGGGACAGCTCGGAGCGAATTGTCTTCTTTCACGAAACACTGCATTGAGTGTGTCGTTGAATCTTTGGCTTCAAGATGTAAAAAATGCAAAAATCGTATTGACATCCATATATAGGAATGGCTTTGCCTGTGTGTGCCTCTGCAGAAATCGGGAGGTCACCGTCCACATCATCCACCGGCTCAGCTTCACATAGTGAGGGTAAGCTACGAATGGTAAGCTGTTTTCTTTAAGTTTGCTGGTGAGAAGTGATCAGATAGTTCCTCCTAGGTAAGCATTTTTGGTGGCGAAACTATTTGCTTCGACTGGAAACCTGATGAGCCACAAAAGAATTCGGAACTTGTGTCAATATTGTTTGAAGTCATCGGGTACTTCTCACTTTGCCGATTATCTGTATCTTCATCTGTCTCTGATCGATCATACTCGTGTTCCTCATATCGATGTCATCAGTTCAGACTTTGCATAAAACGCCTTCCTTGTGCTCTGCCTACCATTTTTGCTCATTTGGACAATGGCGCATCCACTTTCAATAACGTGGACAAAACAAATCTTGAGGAAGTAAGAAGTGTCATAGATGACTTCAATAAAGTGGCAGCTCCATATGCTAAGCTTGTATGTTTTCTACATCACTACTTTTACCTGTTATATATTGTTTTGAATTTAGTGGAAAGGACAAACCAATCCGGCTTTTGAATCATGGAGTCAAGACAGAGCTGATGTAGAGTTACTGACAATAATTTGCAGTCTTTCCTTCAGTCGGTAATATCCACTTTACCAAGTACTTCATCGCATCACTTTCCTTCTATATTCATCTCTTCTCAGTGCTGTTTCAAATCCGCAATTGCTCAACAACCATTATGCCCCATTTAGTAGTGGAGTGAGTAAATAATTTTCCTTTTCAGAAGAGCACTTACTTATATAGGTTACGTTTAGGTTTATGGCGAAACATCGTATGAACAGATGCAGTCAATCATTGACCAAATAGGATTTCGCGAATCGGACGTCTTTCTTGATCTAGGTTGTGGAGTAGGGCAGCTAGTGATGTATGTGGCTGGAGGAACTCGGGTTGGTCTTACTATCATTTAAAGGCAGTACATCGGCAGAATGAGACCCGTGACAAAACTAGGTCACAGGGTAGGGGCCCCCATATGGAACCTATAGGCCAAAGTTCGATCTTTCTCTGCCACTTCTAATCCTCGAAATTTCAAAGCGAAAGCAGCGCTCATCTCCTGCCCTCTCCGAACCCGCCCACCCCATGGACGAGTGAACGCGAGCCCGTCGTGGCGAAGACGCAGAGTCGTTGCGGAACCTCATGCTTATAGCATTGCGGCTGGCGCTCTGACCGCGGAAGTCACTCGTCCATGGGGTGGGCGGGTTCGGAGAGGAGAGGAGATGAGCGCTGCTTTCGCTTTGAAATTTCGGGGGTTAGAAGTGGCAGAGAAAGATCGGACTTTGGCCGATAGGTTCCATATGGGGGCTCCTACCCTGTGACCTTGTTTTGTCACGGGTCTCATTCTGCCGATGTACTGCCTTTAATGGGATGTTGATGTTTTACTATTTTTTGCTCACTTATCAGGTGAAACGGGCTGTTGGAATTGAAATCAATGATCTGCCTGCTAAGTATGGAGCGGCAATGGGCGAAGATTTTTCCAAGTATTCTCCCAACATCGCGTGACATATCCAGATTTGGCAGCGTTATTTTAGGTGGATGAAGTGGTGGAAAAAGAAATGTCGACCGTTCCAGTTACTTCACGGTGATATGTTAGATGAGCAATACAGGAGCATGATCACACAGGTGACAGCAGTGTTTGTATTTGCATCCTTGATCTATCTCAGATGTTTATGATTTTACTCATGGATATATTCGCTCCTAATGCATGCGCTCATGGCTTATTACTGCTTAGCAGCAGGAGATACCGTGTTGTCATTTTAGACTGAAAATTTTGAAATGGGTTTTGGAAGAACTTCAAACAAGACATGTCTCTCCGTATCCTGTTGCAACGAAGCTGAAGGACCCTCATGCATTTGAAGGCAGTGGCTCTGCAAATCTCAACATAGTCAGATTTTCGCTTATCTGGGGTTATTCAATACGCTGATTTCGAAAACCCATATTTGAGAAAATGCCGAAAACGAGCGTTTCTCAATGTCCTTCCCTTTGGAATTGGACGAATGTTGCAAGGCTGATGAAGCCAAATCGTTGCAGGAACCAATGGTTATAGCATTGCGGCGGGCAGCCTCCAATGGTGAGAAGGAAATTGCCAACTCGTCCAGATGCGTGCAAGAATGGCCTGCGCGTGTAAGTTTGAGAGCAATTTTCTCGGCAAGGAAGGCATGCTGTACAACCGGGTTTGCACTTTTTTCATACTTGGGCAATAAGGAGTCTACCGCATTAAAATTCTGAGATGTTGAATTTTGCTGAACCACTGCCTTTAAGCTCAGCTATAAACACAGTTGGTATTTTCCCAACAACATCCTCTTCACCGCGGAGCCACAGTGTGTGACAATGAGGACATTACCCTTTTCTAGAAAGTTTTTGTATTTTGAGTGTACGGATTTTCTGTGAATGCAATTGACATCACACGTAATTTGAAGGCTGATTTTGATAGTGTAGCAAGAAAAAGCTGTGTGCTCAAGATATATACCAGGAGTGGAGCGATTTCTGTGGCCGTATTCATCAACGAACCCCGAGGGTTAAACTAACCCTGGAGGGTTAGTTTAACCCTGGAAAGCGTTTAACCCGTATTCATGAAACACAGGGTAGGCTTAACCCTGAGGGTTAAATCTAACCTTGAGAGTTAATTTTACCCCGAAAGCGACTAACCCGTATTCATCAACGAACCGTGAGGGTTAAACTAACCCTGGAGGGTTAAACTTACGTGATTCATCAGGGTTAATTTAACCCTAGCTCAGAGCAAGGTTAACTCTACCCTAACACTTCATACAAACGTTTACTCGCATCTAATAGTTTATAGAAAACGATCAACGAGTATTGTAGTATTTAGTATCGGTTGTTGTTATATTTAGTTTCGACTTCGTTTTATGTTCATATTCGAAGTACACGAAACACTGACTTCGCGAGAAAAAGAATTCTAGCTTTGGTGACAAATGAATGCGACGAGGAAAAATGGCATTCCACTCTGACAAGTGCCAGAACAGAAGAATCCCTCTATAATAACACGCATTGACCCCTAAAAGAGTAGCACACAAGCCCGGTATAAAACGAACTGCGCAAAAGTAGAACTTACACTGCACAATTGCGCACATGAAAATAAACTCACGCTATAAGATTGGATGCTGCACAAGTATGCTAGAGATGTATTATAAAAACTAGTGTTAGAAGCTTATTCGTTGACTACACTACTATAACAGTGAAAGAATAGAAGTATAAAGTGAATTTAGCTCGTACTTAGGCATTCTGTGATGTGAGTTTGCACAGCGCACGCGTAACTGACGCCTTAACCCTCCAGGGTTAGTTTAACCCTCAGGGATGAATACGGCCATAGGTTCGTTGATCGATACGGGTCGATCGCGTTCCGTGGTAAACCCTAACCTATGGTTGATGAATACGGCTAATGAACCCTGAAGGTTAAACTAACCCTGGAGGGTAAGCTTAACCCTCGGGGTTCGTTGATGAATACGGCCACTGGACTTTTAAGACATGCTAAGGGGTCAGGCACAAAGCTACAAAGGCCAGGCAGCCTGACCTTTTGAGGGGTTGTGCCTGACGCAATTAACTTTATCAAAAAAGCTTTTCCAGCTAATTTTATGTGATTCACCAGCACAAGCTTTAAAGATTCTACAGTTGGTGTTTGAGCTTACCTCGACTTGATTAGGCTTTGTTGTGATCGGTGGAGTCAAAGCTCAAGGTGGGAAACGCGGTGATTGAAATTTTGGCAGCATTTCATACACTATTGTGAGCGATAAGAAGTCTAATTTCTACCATATACTGATAAAGAGTATTACTTTGTAATAAGTACAAAAAAGCCGATTTCTTTCACTGTTGCGACCTACTTAATCATGTTTGTAAATCATGCTTTTTTAGACGTTAGGAAACACTAGAAAATGTAATAGGTGATGGTTTGCAGAGATCGTACTGGTAATTTGGCAATCTGATTACGGAAATCATACCCAATTTGCACAGCAGACTTCTTTATTGACCCTACGGTATGTGTAATATAAGAGATAGAACTGAAATTTGACCGAGATTAATTAATGATGTCATTCAGTATGAATGTTCAAGACAGTCGTTTTTTCTCTGGTAGAGTTGTGATATTCATCGGTCTAGCACTTTTTCTCATCTTAGTCCATAGTATTAGGTGGGTGCGAAAGTAATACGCTTTCTCTATTCCTTGTTTCATGACAATTTTCTTTCCAAAATTTTTGTTTTGAAAAAATCTTATACTACCAAGAAGCTCTTTTCATGCTCTGTCCGAAGGTGGTTGAACTGTCTTCTTGCCTCATTCGTTAAATATAGGGCTTCACACAACCGCACTCGAAACCAGATTTTCAGTGCATTTACTCTTCCGGGCAGAATTTAGGCGCGAATGATGGCAATCTTTTGAAAATCTGACTATTGTATGTAATACAACTGTCTATATTCACTCTATTGCCTTCTTGAAAGTTATCTAGACTGAGATTTCGGCGCCCCAACAGGGGTAATCGTTTTGTTCATTCCGTGGCCCATATATTTCGTTTGAAGAAGGCAATCGCCAAAGCTTTGCTCATTATTATAAGCATAGGGGAGGGTCTCCTGTTGATAGTCTTTGCACAAATGTTGTGCCGTTCAATACGCGGAAAATCACAAAACTTCATAATTTGGGACGAGGCCTAGGAAAATATTGAAAAGAAATATTGGAAAAAGCGGACAATTTTGAATTTTAATTTTCTCCTTTTCGCAAATCGTCTTTATCTGAGCGCAAAATAGGTTACTTACCATTTACACTAACATGAAGAGATATGATCAGTTAAAAACGAGGTTTCGGTATAGCACGTCAAAGTGAGAACTCGCAAAACGGCATCACTTTTGCACCAACCTAGTATTAAGTATTTCCTCTATTTTTTGAACATGTTCGATCTTTAATTACGACCCCCCCCCCCTCCCTCCCAGGTCGACTACGCCTGAGCCCATTTTCTACCCTGGCTATGATATCCTATTTACATCGCTGAGGTCAAAACTTTGGTGTTAGATTTTGCTGCTGAACAAACTTGTCGGGCTATGAAAATGTTGAGTTTCGATCGAACTCAACAAAATTATTGAACATGTACAACTTCATTTTTCGTCCGCTCCTGCTCTCCAAACTTTCTTCACAAAGTATTAGCCTCTCGGAAATGCCCAAAGGAAGAGTATATACTTCTATATTTGTCATACTTTGTAGTATTCGCTATTTTCGCTTCGACAGTCTTTGTCTCATATAGGAAGCTACGATCATCTTCATCAATAATTACGCATTCGAGCCGGAATTGGACCTTCATATAAAGAATATGCTAGCTGATTGTCATGTAGGGACTCGAATTATTTCAACGAAGGCCTATGCGACTGGAACAAAAAGAGTGAATATGCGTAATCTAGGAGGTTAGTTCTCCAATATCCTTCTTGTGCGGTGCTCTAAACATCATTGTTTTTCGACCTGATCTGAAAAGCATAGATTTAGATGTTGAAGCGATAATGGAAGTCACCCAGCTGAAAACGGTAAAGCAACCAACGTCTTGGACTCCCAACGATGTACCCTACTATATGCACACGGTTACGCACAGCAAGGTAATCTCTGCCACTATTTTGTTGACACCTAGCGTTGTCGTAATCGATTGCAATGTGGATTTGTTCGCGACGCGGTTGCGCTGCGTGTGAAGATACACGAGTAAATCGACCTCCCATGCTGTCTCCCATCTCGACCACAGCCACTCTTTTTATGTCATGTCGTGTTTAGTTCGAAAAAGGGACGTGAAATGTTTGAGACAAACACGATAGACTTTGGTAGGCTATAGTTGCTATTTGACTCCGGGAACATTGCATTAGAGCTTTTTCTATTTTTCTTCTATCGCCTATCTGCTAACTTACATAGTCTCTCATCTACGGAAAAAAAGATAAAAAAGAGACCTCAGGTTGAACCTTGAGGAATTATAGTTTTGCTTTTTTGGGTTTTCGGGGCTTTTACCTCGTTGGCTTTCTTGATCAGAGAGGTCTCATATTCCTTCTATGTCAATAGCTGTCAAAATCAGTCATGCTGATCGTCTGAGTGCAGAGGAATTTCATAGCATTTTCCTCAGAATATATTTCTAAGCGATTTGATATAGATTTCCGCAGTATATGCGATCTATAATGGTAATACGTGAATATCTTAGATATTAAAGCTAATGAAATATCGGATAACGACAGCTTTTTTCCTCCGAATTCGCAACTTTCATGCTTTTCATGTCCTCTGTTAAGACTTGCCGTACTCTATGTCCGTGCTACCCCCCATATTCGACTGAATCGGAATCAAATTTTGCTTTTTGCATTCTCTGCGGTATCCATCCTAGAGTCATATCTCTTTGTCATCTCATCCCGTCTTGCAAATCTATAGGCACTCTAATATCGGTTTGTAAGGCATCCTTGCTGCCGATATTCTTTGGAACTCGCTCATATGTGGTTAATCACCCTTTTTTAATTTTTGCGGGATTGTGCCGTCTGGACTTTATGCATATCAGAGATGAGGGTTTCTAATTTCAATGCCTTTTGTGTCCGCTAAATCAAGCAAACAGCAGCAAGATTTGCACAATTTGATACTCTTTTTCATTATATAGTGAACATGCATCTGTATGGTTTTCTTATCACTCTTAGGGACCGGCCATACTATTCCTGTGATTCCTGCAATTTCTGCACTTCCTGTGATTCCTGCGGGTTCCGTAACAAGTCCGTAACATTGCGAAAAAACAATGTATTTTGAAATTCGCAAAGCCCTCCGTAGTGCAGTACATCGGAATTCGAGGGATCACAGGAGTTGCAGAAATTACACAAATCACAGGAATCACATACTGGAATAGTATGGCCGGTCCCTTAGTGTTTGTGCTTGAAGCTTCTTGAAGCTCGCATGCTTCTCTGACACCTTTAACTCATCCGACTTCTTACACTCTTTTGTGTTCTACCAAGTGGAAATGGTTTTCTTGTTGTCATCGCAAACATATGCCGGATTTCATGAATTTTTTGATCAGCATGCTCACCTCCTTGCATCATCTCTTCAGTGAAAGCTGAAAGCCTCAGCTGAAAGAAGAGTCTATAAAATTGGTAGACACTAATCTCTCTCTACCAACTCCGAGCTCTCCAGAAAAGTTGCAAAAAAAACACGATGAATTCGATATAGACGATCGATCACCAAGGGGTTTTTCGTAACAGCAACTCCGTAAGTTAGTTTGCTGGAGATTAGTAAATCGATGTCGATCAATAGCGAAGAATGTTTATGACACTCGAATGTTCTGTTCTGTGAATAAGACTGATATATTGCCACCGAATAATGCTTATCACGGAAGCTTTTCTTTTCCGAAAATCTATACTGTGCTCATCCGCAATCAAACCGCACTGGGAGGGCTTTGCAGAGAACAAGCTGATATTGAATTTTCATTGACTTCAAGAATATCACTTCATAAACACCTATAAAATGTGCGAAATAACTACTTAATTTTGAAGTTCTGCGGTCGAACTTCGATAATTAGTAGGTGCTAGTATGGAATTACCGAAAACTTCAACAAATCGTGGTAAAATATGCGTTATTTTTGGCGGTCCAGATCGGCGGTCGGGCAGGAGGCAGCAAACGCCTGCCGCTTCTGCTTTTGGAAGTACCTGAGGAGCTGCAGAGTTCCTCACGCTTCTAATTACTTCTTCGCACCTCTAAGAATCTATTCGATATGGCCTATGCCCAATTATTCGTAAACTTTTTAAGTGAGGTAGTTGCGAGATATAGGTTTCATGTTTCATATTCAAAGCGAATGAAATTGTAAGTTTCAAAAAAGGTTTATAGAATTAGACCAATTCAACATCGAAGGCGGTATAAACGTCAGAATTTTGAGTGGATATGGAAGTATAACTTGATCTATCAAATCTTCAAACAGGACTATTTAGCATATTCTTGTAACTTTTTCGTCATGAAAATTCCGATCGAAAACAAAGACTTCAGAGACTGATAGCCACGTTCTTTATTTTGCGACAGCCTTAATCCTTTCTCCTTCAAGAATTTTGACGAAAACTGCTTTGAACCCGATTTCTGTAGGCTGAAACCGACTATAGCTGAGACTGAAAGAAGTTGCAAGATTTTTAACATGATCTAAAGTAGAATACTCTTCAAGGAGCTTTTTTTTTGATTTTCTTGCTTGTGATGTAATCAAAGGTGCGAAGAATGATTAGAGGCGCGAGAAACTCTAGGGCTCCCCAGACACCTCCAGAAGCAAATGCGGCCAGCCTTTGCTGCCTCCTGCCTGACGTCCGTCCAGATCTCCGCGCGCTGGTTTTTGCCAGCCTGTCGCGCACGGTGCCTCCTTAATTGACATCCACATACGTACCCAATGACTAGTCGGCTTTTCTGAAAACCTCTTCAAAGTATGTTTTTGGGGCCAAACTTCCGCAACGTTCTACCGGAGTACAAAGTTTCAACTATCCAAATATTGCCAATTTTTGGATTTCGGCAACGAAAACGCTTTTTTCTAAATGCCCTAACTGCCGCGTACAGAACGTCGTTAAAAAGAATTGTGTTAAGGTCTTACAAGAAACTTACTCTCATTGCTCAAAATGTATTTCAATTGCTGATTTTCTGTAAGCCACTTGCCTCAGGCCATTATTCATTGAAAAAAGGTACCCTACAATCTTAGAGGTAAATTACTCTCAATGCTGACAGAGTGATGCGTTGATCTTGGGAAAATTTCTCAGAACGTCCTAAGTGGCGCTTACAGACCGTCACTTGCAAGAAGAAACTGCCTAATGACCTTATAAAAAACCCACTCTTAGTCAAAACGTGCCAGCGGATCGAGCCATTCCCTGTCGCTAGGAGGGGATGCAGGAGTTCCTTTCTTCGCACCATAGTTAGCACCAACATTCGCACCCAGAAGGGTTCTAGCACTTCCGCGCCTCAGAGGTCACACACCGCCCACTGCTCAACCCATTGACTGGTCTCATTGTAAAGTGTGCGAAGAGCATGTACTCAGATATGAGGATGACAAGTGAGAAAATGAATAGAAGTGCAGAACAAAGATTTAATTTTATTAGTGAATCCCAGAGATATATATTTCAATGTTTTGTGCAGTAGAAATAAGTGTACACATCATGTTCGGCAACTCTTTCACAGGAGAGCTTGGAATGTGAAAAATTTTGAGGTCCAGTACAAACGTCCAAAAGCACCGTCAAATCCTCGACTTCCATGTTCGCTTACAGGCCTTCTGAAAGCCTTGATCTCCAGTATGGAGTCGAAAAATCCCGAACCCCCCCCCCCCCAAAATTCCCGTTTTGGAGAACCTGGCTGGCGGTGCAGGTGCAAATCGCAGGCCTACGGTGCTGTTATACGCCCGGCGTATATCAGCGCCGCAGCCCGCCAAACCTGCAAAATGGGCGGACGACCAGACGACGAAATGACCTCCGGAAATACGTTCCTTCCGGAGCGGATTTCTCGCTCCGGAAATCTCTTACGGCGCAACTTGGGGTTTGCCTAGTGTGGGGGCCCACACTAGTTATGCCAACATGATCTCGTCAACCCCTACTTTGCGTAGACGCTGCCTTCAAGGACTACTAAGAAATAAATCAAATTTAGCAGAAACGTAGCTTTTGACCTAACAGATTAGTTCATGACCTGTCCTTGTGTCAATCACTCGAGTTCGACGAAAAACTGTACTCGAATTTTACAATATGGAGTTCGCCAGAAGTCTTCACAACCGACAGTGATAACATATGTGGATTGATAAAATGTCCTATCTCCTGTAAATGTAAAATGTGCTTATATCGAGTTATGGACAGTTGAAATGATACCAAATCGCGTCGCGACTGAAGCGTGAAGTATGCTCGGCCCTTAAAGGCAGTGTCTAGGCAAATCTTTGGCTTTTTTGCCTGGAAACTGATAAGAGGGTCCAGCTAAGGCACTGCCCAAACGCCAGCGCAAATGATTCATTCACGGCTGAGAAATCCATCCCCAAACATTCCGCGCCTGCGCCGTAACCGTAACACTCAGGGTGGGTCGTAGCGCGAACGTAGTGTTAAAGTGAGCGAAGTCGTTTTCGGACAGCGCAGGCGGGGCTTTTGGGGACGGATTTCTCAGCCGTGAATGAATCATTTGCGCTGCCACTTGGGCAGTACCTCAGTTAGGGCTCTCTCATCAATGTCCAGGCGAAAAGCTCATGCGTCCAGATTTGCCTGGACACTGCCTTTAAGGTATGACTGAAGACTCATTTAAGCTGCTACTATATGATGATCGTTGTGGCTTGTTTAGCTGGACACCGGAATGGGTATATCCTTTATTCGATTAACGTTTCGGCGTTATCGCCTTCTTCAGAGTCTGAAATTATCGAATGCATAAGTGAACTATCCCATCAAAAACTGCCTCAAGGCTCAGGAAGACGCGCCCAGCAGCGTATCGAAAGCCCAGCAGTAAGAACATTCTTATACACTGTTTTTTTAGCGCACCCCTGGGAAGTTAAAGAAATCAGTTGTAGGAAATATGTTCAGAAGTGCTGTGAAGGTCTCCTCTGACAGGCAACAAAAGGCTTATTCCATGGCGATAGCTGACAGAGTAGCTCGATGTAACG